GACCACTTCCATTTTTTATATTTATCTAATTTGGAAAAAAAAAAAAAAAGTTCTGAGATTCAGACTCCATGCATTAAATACCACACATAACAACACAAAATAAGGACATACTGCATGTTTGACCATGATGAGTGTTAAGCACTGTTGTAAAAAATATATAATGATAACAATTTAATAACACTCTGAAAGCGACTCCTAAACATAAATCATGAATTCCACTGCGTATTAATACTAACACTAGTTAATTAATATAAAATTTTTTTTAAAGGACCACAACCCTGAACAGCCAGGCCCACGAGAGCCAGGCTCAGACTTCATAAACTATGGGTTTTCCTGAGGTCTTTTGTTGATTCAGCCAGTGTAGGGTGCAAGCTTTAGGGTGTGTCTCTGACACACAGTGTGTCAGGTGGGACGGAGTTCTTAAACAACAGCCGCCATGTGAGGCTCACTTTTACAGCCTCACTTCCGACAGTCAAACTCTGTCCTACAGAAAAGCATGATACTTCGTTGTATTCTTCTAGCAGGTAAGTGTTTTACTTTCTTTTCGGAAGGCATTGTATTTAGTTATGAAAACACAACCCGTTAATGTAACCCATACGAAAAATCACTGCAGTATGTGAGGGTTTGTTTGTAGTGAAAGTAACTTTTATAAACTAGTGCAAAGAAGATGTTTCACATGGCTTTAATGTGGTATGATATGTTATTGCTTAATGTGTAATGTGTAACTTTCTCCTTTGAAGCGGTGGCTGCAATGTCCCAAGCTACGTCTAGTTGCTTAATGGGAGCTTGTTACCCCCCAAGTGGAGACCTGGTGCTGGGCAGAACTCAGCAGCTCTGGGCGTCCTCCACCTGTGGCCTCTTAGGCTCTGAGGTCTACTGCACACCTTATCAGCAGGTACAATCCGCCTCCGTGCACAGGGCTATCTGAACTCACTTACCAAGACATCACTGGGGCCCTAGTTTTTCTATCACTAATTGACCTGCTTCTGGTCAGTTTCTCAAGAAAACATTGTGGTGATTCCAAGGACCATTGTGAAAAGTGTAATTAACCTTGTCAGTTGTCTGAGTCTTCTAACACAGGGAGATGGTCTAGAAGATAGTTAAGTTTATCTATGTACTATTGATTTCTTTAAAATATAGTACTCCTGTGATCTTGAAGACTAATGGATTTTAACTGTATACTATCTGTGGCATTATTATTTATTTATTTATTTATTAGTTTAGGGGTAATCTACATTAATAAACATTTCTATTTTCTTTTCTTTTTTCTATTGTTCATCTGGTATCCCTGAACATATGTTTAAAAAAAGTCACCCTATTGACTATAGGCTGTAATTCTTTATACTGGTATTTTTAATAATCTTATAGCTCCTCCTTGTCAGATGATTAGTGTTCCATCAGAAAGCTGGGCTGTAGTTTTGTGCTGAATACAGAGTTGAAATATGGTATATATGTTGCAGAGGCGAATGAAGTGCTGTCCTTGTGATTCACGAAACCCAGAGAGTCAGCTGGCCCACACCATCCAGGACATCGTCTCCACCACTGGACCTGAGCGCTGGTGGCAGTCTCAGAAAGGTGGGTAATGACGTGTTCTCCAGATCCTCTATCTACACATCACAACACAATAATACATTTAAAAAACACAAGAAAAACTAATTCAACCAAAGAACTGGCAATGTTCATCTTCCAGGTGGGATCTGTGCTTTACTCTGAGAAGACATTTATTCTTTTCCAGGTCTTGGTTGCTTTTTTAAATATTTTAAATCAATTTCTATTATTTCAACATAGTTTGGTGCCATAATATAAACTCAATCTAAAAATGTTGTTTAAATGGCCCATATTACATCATTTTCTAATCTATGTTATAATGTTTTCTCATCAAACATATACCTGGGGTTGTGTTTTGTTTCATTCACACATGTTTAACACACAGACTTTTCATATTTAGGTTGAGTTCTATTCCTAAACAGGAAGTACTCTGTTCCACCTTGTGATGTCATGTGGTAATACAGGAAGTGCTCTACTGTGTTTTTAAAAGTCATACACCCTCACTAGAATCATTTGGATAATTTCAGCTGTGGTCTTGTCAATCTCTTCTGAACAAAAGGTTAAAGGAGCTGTTAGGTAGAAAACTACCACTACATGACATCACAAGGTGGAACAGAGTATTTTGAGCTTTGGAGATGTGGACAGACTAATAATCAAGGATTACGTAAACATGTGTGAATGAAACAAGACACAATTCCAGGTATGATTTAATGAGGTAACAACATTAAAACATGGCTTAAAGCTCACAAGAGTCCATTTTGTCTAATGTAGGATCTTTAATATCTGTTTTTGTTTGTGTTGTATTGTGTAGGAGTGAGTCCTGTCACAGTACAACTAGATCTCAAAAGCCTGTTCCAACTTGACAGTCTTGTCTTGGACTTTAAGGTAAGATGTTTTCAGAATAGTCACTAGTATTTAATTTCTACTTAATATTTTCTGCATATTTTTGCTGAAGAAAAATGTTAATGCTTGATATATCTCTGTGACTGCTGTTGTTTGCAGGGTCCTCGCCCTCAGGCTTTAGTAATCGAGAGGACTCTGGATAATGGCAGGACATGGCAGCCTTATGTCTACATGGCTACAGACTGTCCCTCTGCTTTCCCTGAAGTTCCCACCAGCACCCCAATGGACATGGATGACATATACTGTTACACACTGCCTCCTATTGGCAGTGATCTGTACAGGGATCACCAAGTATGACTTTTTTTTACTACTTTTACTAGTATTCAGAACTAGAGTTCACTCACTCTCAGTACTTGTAACTACTAATCCCGTCACGATAATTACTATATTGACTATTTTTTGTTGTATTACTTTAAGATTTTAGCTGCAAATTGTTGAGTAAGTAACTTCTCAGGTTAATAATTTTCATTCTGCTATTTTATTTGTTGCAGCTCAGGCCTTTTAAAATTGGTTAACTAGGATTATCCTGCTTTGTGTCAGTAGCATAAAGTAGCGTCAATATTATGGTTTATTGCAGTATATCTCAGCAGCATTATATCATGGTTCACAATTTGTTATCATGACAGGCCTAGTGACTACAGATACAGAGATTATTCACAACATTTTTATTATCACCAGGTGGTACTGATAGCATGATATTACATTACATCACCCATTACTGGTTAGGGTATACGGCTATTGGTGGGTTTCAGATTATAGAAAGTGATGATGTCAAAATCTTAGATGGGGCAAGAGACATTTTCCCTTTTGATTACATTGTACCTTCTGTTGAAATATCTAAAAGGTAAATTCACCATTGTTGAACCTGATGATTTCTATTAGTGGCTCGGGGTGTGCAAAAATATTGAAATATCAAGATATTGTGATACTAAATTTGGTGATACAGTATCGTTCTTGTGGACTGCTGTGTTTATATATCACCTAGAGGATATTTTTAGTTCTTATAGCATTTTTTTGTGACCACATTACAGTAAAATGAAATATATTAGGGTTTAGTAGTAGTAGTCTGTACAGAACTGCCCTGAATTTCACATTGCATTCTTTCAGATTAACTTTCGGCCTTTAGAACAATACATGTACGTTCCAGTTCCCAAAGGCCAGAAGATTGAAGGTAAGATTTAAGGCACTTTTTCATAACTAACTAATTATTATATCTAACATTTGTGAGAAACTTGCTTGTATTGCTGTTGTGGGCAGAAGTCTCCGGTCTCACGGGGGCTCAGGGTGAAGCTGGTCCAGTTGGGTGAGGTGCCAGAGATGCCAGGCCGTTCTCTGAGCAGGTTCTTTGCTCTGAAGGAGATGAGGGTAGTGGGACGCTGCATGTGCCACGGACATGCTAACAAATGTCTGCCAGACACTTACCCAACATACGCTAACAATGTCCAGGTATTTACATGTTTTTTAGTTTTGGTGTACTGTACATGGTTCTCTAACATTCTAACCTGCTTCTATTTTGAAGTAGGCTCTGTGCACAGCAGCATGCTACTCAGTTCACTCTCATTGCTAACAGTCACTTTTATTAAAATCGTAAAATATAAATCAAACAAACAATTCAAATTGATTAAAATAAAGACTAGCCAGATATTTTTGTAGGTATAATACTCCTACCTACAGAAATATTTTGCTGAAGCTGAAGTATTTGTTTTATTTGTGTACTTTATACCATCCACATCATCCACCCTCAGCTCTCTGTTCACTGCTTTCTGTTTAAATATTGATATATTTTAGCACGACTCCACAAAAGAAGTTAGAAGTTAAACTGAACAAGTACTAGTGTTGCTAACAGTGAGGTTGCTGAGTATTATTGTGCGAGTGTGAGTCTATTAAGCTGGAGCAAAGGTCACATGAATGCTGACCGTTTGTCCAGGTTTATAATTGATATCTATAATTATTGGGCCTACCCACATGAAACATCTTCCCAGCATCTTAAAACAAAAAGACGTGACTTTATTCAGTCACAAAAGGTGTGAATGATCCAGAGTTATATAGACCTGCTGTACTCAACATCTGAAATTAAATAGTCTTTCTAAACTGGCTTGAATGTAGCCTGCAATCCATGAAATGACAGCCTGTAAAATGTGTGTGTGTGGTTGCCAGGTGCCTTCTCGGTGTGACTGTCAGCACAAACACAGCAGGTCTGAACTGTGAGCGCTGTGCAGACCTTTACAATGACCTGCCCTGGAGAGCAGCGGAGGAGGACAAACACACACGCATGCAAACGTAAGCTTCTGGAATACATATAAAAAACACAGACAACATAGAGCTTTTAGAACAGAGCTCAATGACCTTCTGGTGCATACTATAGGGACAGTTTGATTAAAATAATAATATATTTCTTGTTTAATGCCATTAGTGTTCATTAGGTAATGCCAATGCCAGTTGAGTGATCATAAGTATCAAATCACAAAGTTTTATGTTTTACTTATTTTTTCTCAGCAAACAACAAAATATCCTGTCTCCATTTAGTCTTACTGTAGCAGTTTGGATTTCTGTCTACTTTCAAATGTTAAATGGACAAGTGTCTTCAAATTTATGGTTTTACCTAAATTTTACAATTTAAAATAGCAAATCTCTCAGTAGAAGCTAGAGAGATCACATATATTTTTTTTTCAAAACTGGAAACAGAACTGAATATCCTGTAACATTTTAAGTTAGGCCTATGGTTTGTCTGTGCCCACCATTTTCCTTCTGCAAAATGTACAGAAAACTATGTAAATTGCTTTATATTTTCTGTAAATAAAATAAATCAAATCAAATATTAAAATAAAATAAATAAAAGTACAAAAAACAAGGGATTCAATGATTACAT